GGGGCCCCCATATGTCCAAACTAGCAAGCATACTAAGTTTTGCAGTCTATGCTGTAAAAAAGATTAGAGGTCTCACTAGTGTCGAGACAGCTAGATTAGTTTATTTCAGTTATTTCCATAGCCTAATGTATTATGGGATTTTGCTATGGGGGAAATGCGGCTGATTCAGATACTAGTTTTGTTTTAGAGAAGAGGGCCATTAGAGCAATTTACTACCTAAAACCGAGAGAGTCTCTTAGACATAAATTTAAAGAAACAAATATATTAACTTTGGCCTCTCAGTATATTTACGAAAATTTAATGTATGTTCACAAAAACAAAGGTAGTTTCTGTAAACACTAGGAACAAACACAAGCTAGTGATACCAGCTTCTCGACTCCACAGAGGCAGTAATTCATTCTTGGGGCAATGTATACGCTATTACAACAAGGTCCCGGAAAGTGTACAGGCTCTCTCTATTAGCAAGTTTAAATGTTTTGTTAAGTTGAAACTGTATAAAAAGGGTTATTATAGTATAGATGAATACATGGTTGATAATAACCCCTGGGAATGAGGTGATCGCTTCCAAGCTGTTTCCAAAATAAATTTTGTACTTATATAGTTTGTACAACCATTTATGTGTAAAATATGCTTTAAAAAAAGTCCCGCTGTGTTTCTTTCTGGTTTTTCCCAGGACAGAGGTTTATTTTCGAACCAGTGGTAAAGTAAAAATTACTTTCAATAAGAATAACATATGTGATCTATATTGAATAAAAATTTATTCTATTCTATTCTATCATATTCTATTCTATTCTACATCATATTGAGGTTGTATATTGGTTTCGAAGCATGTTAGCAAAATTCTCTATAATTAAGTATAAAGTACCCCATAGAATTCTGTTACAATTATATAAATCACTGGCCGAATCTAAAATTTCATATGGCTTGTCTAGTTATGGGCGAACTTATAAATCACATTTAGATAACATTTATTAATTGCAATTACGCATCTTAAAAACTATAGTTCCAGACAAGGTCAAAAACATACACAGCGATTCTGATTACCATAACCTATTCGATTACTGCAAAATTATACCGGTGCATAAAAAAGTAGAATATACTCTTTTAAATGAAGAATTTTTAACGAAGATTACAAAAAAATATATCATCTCTAACTATTCTTAAACCCGCAGTTCGGCCAAACCAAAATTAGCTAAACCTAATTATAACAATTTATACGGAAAACGTACTTTAGAATACATGGTTCCAAATTTGATTAATCAGTTACTAACCTCTTTTCAAAATGAAATTAATCATAAAAATATTAAATACAAATTAAAAAACTATTATACGAAAAGTCTATGTCAGACTTAAAACTAAAGAAAAAAAACTATAATTGCCATTAACTATATTCCCTAAATAATTATTTTTTTTATAGGAGAGGGGGCATACGAGCATGCGGCTCACCTGATGGTAAGTGACTACCGCCGCCCACGAACAACCGCAACATCAGGGGAATTGCAGAAGCGTTGCCGGCCTTTTAAAAAGAAGTAGGCTCTTTTCTTGAAGATCCCTAAGTCGTATCGGTCTGGAAAAATCGCTGGTGGTAAACTATTCCACAAGGAAGTTGGGCGAGGAAGAAAACATCTAAATCGCACAGTGGTGGACCGCCAATCATTTAAATGGTGTGGATAGTATCGGGCGTTCTGCCGCGATGTGCGTTCGTGAAATTTGGCAGGTGGGATTAATCCGAACAATTCCTCAGAGCACTCCTTGTGGTAAATGCGAAAGAAAATGCAAAGAGATGCAACATCTCTTCGCAGCGCCAATGAATCGAGCCGATCGGAAAGGACTCGGTCGTCGACGATTCGAACCGCTAGATGAGTGACTAAGTGCTAGTGAAAACCGCACATCCGGCATGGAGCACTCTCACCGTGGGATGGTCGGCAGTGTGTTCCCCCCGTCATCAACAGTCGAGTTGGACGCAAAAAGGGAGCCTAAAAGGTCGGCTTTCTCTTTTGCGTCGTGGGCCAGTGAGTTGTCCTTCCTGTGCAGAGATGGTAGTGATGGCTTACAGAAATTCCCTTAGACAGCCTTGGCGAGAGACCAGAATGCACGGGTTTCCGATGGAAGGCGAACTAGTTTTTCGCCAATCCTGCCTATGTGCTCTGACTTTGCCTTGGCAATAACTCTATTGAAGGACCTGGAGGCGAAGATATACTTCTTTTTAAGTGTGCTGATGTTTACATCCCGAGTCGCCGAAGCCGAAGCCCAGGCTTGATAACACTCCTGCTTACTGCGTAATGCAGTCTTACAGGAGCGACCAAACCAAGGCTGAGATCTGCCTCCGATGGGTACCACAGATGATGGAATAAATAGTTCCATTCCCTGTAGCACCACATCAGTGACAGAGTCAGCAACAGCGCTGGGATCATCCGGCGAGAAGCAAACCCGCCCCCATGGGTAGGAAACAAAGAAAGACCGCATTCCGTCCCAATCCGCCGACCTGTAATGCCAAACACGACGGCAACCTGCAGAACGCAACCGCGAGGGGAGTGTGAGTGGCACCACACTCTGGATCAGACAATGGTCCGAAGAGCCAAGAGGGGCATCGACGGAAACCTGATATCCGTCCGGATGAGAGGTCAGCAGAAGGTCCAACAGGGAAGGTGTATGATCCTCAACATCTGGAATCCGCGTAGGAAATGTAACCAGTTGTGTCAGAGCATATGCCAAGGCAAAGTCATAAACAGATCTCCCCGCATGATCGGTTAAACGTGAACCGAGCTATTGGGCATGGTGGGCGTTAAAATCGCCAAGAATCACGATCTCTGCGGATGGGACCTGTTGTAGCAAAGAATGTGTAGCCATTTGGACGTGGTCGATGAGTCGGTCTGTTTCGGCATTACCGCTATGGGACCTACAGAGGCACTCGTAGACGCGCGGATGGTCGTCGCTGTCTACGCGTAGCCAAAGGATGGACAGGTCCGAATCTTCAAGACTGCCGAGGCGTCGAGAACAGATGTCCTCTCTGACATACACGCAAACTCCAACCCGAGGTACAAAGGAATGCTCCAATTTGTACCCCGGGTAGGAGAGATACGAAATATCAGCCGGAGAGGAAACCTGCGTCTCGGTCAGAAAGAGCAAGGCCGGCTTCGCCGTCTCGAGATGGTAGTGGACAGCGTTTAGGTTAGAGTGAAGTCCCCTGATGTTGCAGAAATTCACGGATAGCGTGGCAGGGGTCGCCTTGGTGTTCTTGCTCAGTTTTCCCCGTGCAGTTATGTTTTTGAGCGGAATTTTGCCCCCCCCCCCTACCCCAGAATACGCAGGACAGGCTGAGCACCCGCGTTCAGGATCGGAATAACATGGTCGTGGATGCTCAGCGAGGGATTCTCCAGGGGTACTGGTACCCTCCTGGGGTAGTCTATCGTGTAATTCCGCTACCATGATGATGGGAGGGGGGTGAATTGGGCTTCCGGTCACCTGCACTCGCCAGACGAAACGCGGAAGCAGAGCTTCTACTTCACGCCGGTATTCTGTGAGGTCGTGGTACCAAACCGGCTCGAACCGGCCCATGCGTGCAACAGAAAAAACTGCTGCGTGGCTCTACCACCGTTAAAGAAAAATAAATAAACCTATATGACAATTTAAACAAATAATAATTATTATACTCGTCTACTATTAAATATTATCACAATTATTATCTATATATTTTTATCACCTTCTGTATACGCGACGCAGGAACGACCGGTTTTTGACGCGGCGAAGTGGGTGATGGCAAGACTCACGTCTTTTAATGCACTATTAGTTAATTACGTATTGCCGATTTACTGCCTGTTGACTGTGCCAATTTCTGTTTAATAATGTTGCATTATACATATTTTGTAGATTAAGGTGTAGCTTACCTGTCAAATTTTAAGTCGGCGGCTTGTAATACACGGTAAAGTTTTTCATTAAGCTTATGCTGTACCATGATATATTCTCTGTATTATCTGTAATTTGGTAAATAAATAAATAAATAAATAAGCAGACACACACACGAGATGTTTTAAAGATTTGGGCAGCTGTGGATTTTTATACATAAATTATGTCCTGGTTGCGATGATGCATAGGAAGCAAAACAGATGTAGTTCGTTTTTTGGATATTTAAAATTAAAAGATTATCCCTCAGCCATTTAGATACACGAGCTAAGCCCTTTGCAGCCAGATGGTGTACGGAATCCCAAGTCTTGCCAGTAAAGACAATAGCAGTATCATCCGCATGAGAGGAAATCCTTCCCCCGACGTCCTGTAAGTTACACAATTCATTGATATAAATTAAAAAGAGTGTCGGGCCAAGTACACTAATTTTAATGGTATCTTTGTCACTAATAAAGCTATCTGTTTTTACGGCTGGGGTTCTGTCACGAAGGTAACTACTAAAAAGGGAGAGCACAATCCTCTTGATGCCAATGCCAATACGGTATTTCTAGGCCTTTTTAAGGTCTAGAAATACCGTAAGGCATTTGTATCTTTTGTTGACTTCCTTAGCTATAATAGAGATCAAATCTAGAATTGTGTTTTGAAATGATATTTCTTTACGAAACCCATATTTAAATTCCGATAAAATATTGAATTTGTTAAGATTTAGCAGCCTTTTATTAAGAAGCTTCTCAATTATTTTTGAAGTTGAAGTCAAAACAGAAATAGGCTTATATAATTGTTGACGTCTGATTTATCTCTACTCCTGTAAACAGGGGTTACTATAGATCACTTGAAAGCACTAGAAAAGACTCCTGTACTAAAAAAAAGATTTGCCAACTTATAGAAATATATCTTTTTGGTCCTTCGAGACTGAAGTGTGATTGTGATTTTTTCGGTGATAGCGAATCGGTTTGTCTGGCCTCCCAGAAGCGGGTCTCACCAGGCAGATTGAGAAGGCGCATAATATATCGCTGGAAGTTCATCGTCACACGGACCGCAAACAGGAAGCGATCAGTTCACTTAACACTTAGCGAATACCTATCAACAACAACATCATGGAAGATTTACAAGCAAATCAACAACAGATGGTTTCTGGTATGGAGCAGCTGCTCAGCAACTTCAAAAAGGACGGCGCCTACCGTAGGACTGCTGCTCATATCAAAAAACGACTGGACTCTTTGGATACTTACTGGCAGGAATTTCACAACCTTCACCTCCAGGTACGTGAGTTGTGTGATGAAAACCATTCCTACATTGTACAGAATCAATACGGACAAGTTCTTGATTTTTATACAAAAACAAAAGACTACATACAAAGTTTCTTACCAACTGAAGACAAATCAAGACCTTCTACTCCGATCATAAAACCATCAAATTTCAACCCCCCGCCATCAACGTCGTCAGCAACACCACGACAGGTGGACCGCAGTATTAACAGCAAGCTGGATGAGATGTTGCGTAAGCAAAGTAGCAATTTTAGAGCTTTTAAGCGAACGTTAGCAAACATTGACTTGGATTTGTTAACCGATAACTGGGAATTAGAAGATGCTCTGAAGACCTTGAGTGTTAGATGGAACCGTATCGACTCCCTTCATTGGGAGCTCGACAGCAAGCTGGAGGGTACTAACGTAGCATACGAACAAGAATTTTCCGTCCATGAGAGAAGCTTTAGTGACATAAAGAAGGCAATCAACAAGAAAATATGGTCAACAGCTCATCAGGAACAATTTACACCAAAGCTTGATATTCCTATCTTCAACGGGAATTATCACCAATGGGTTCCGTTCAAAGATCTATTTACGGAATGCATTCATAACAATCGCTCCCTTTCCAGTGCTCAAAAAATGCAGTTTTTAAAGAGCAAGGTCAGGGGAGAGGCGGAGCGGCTGATACAACACCTACAGATCAGCTCGGATAATTATATTATCTGTTGGGACATTTTAAACAACCGATACAATAACCCGAAACTTATATTCACTTCTCACATGAACATATTAATGAGTTTGCCAGTTCCCCATCAAGCATCAGTGACCAACATCAAGAAAATTCACGACACTACGCAGGAGTGCTTAAATGCAATAAAAAACCTAGGAATTGACATAAGCACCTGGGATCCGATTATTGTTTACCTGTTGACTCAAAAACTCGATAACGAAACTCATCATGATTATGTTCAATCTTTGAAATGTCCCCGGGAACTGCCAAAATTACAAGAATTTCTCAAGTTTTTGGAACAAACATTTACGTCGATGGAGTCTGGACGTAGAAAACAAGACAACACTCATCAAAAATCACACATTCCAAGTAATCAAAATCAGTATCCGAAAACTTCGAAATCGAATTATTTCAAACAATCATACGCCAGTAATCGAGTAACAACCCAGCATCCATCCAACATCTCGTCGAGGGGTTCTGCGTCACCTAACTTACAAGCTGTTAAAAACAAGAATTTCATAACATATACATGCCCACTCTGCAGTAAGGATCATGGACTATTCTTTTGTCAAGAATTTTTGGACATGTCTCCACAAACAAGACGTAAAACAGTAACAAAATTAAATGTTTGCCAAAACTGTCTTTTTAATCATCAAGGTAAAGCATGCCTTTCAGAGAAGCGGTGTCGTGAATGCAACGAAAATCATAACACTATGTTACATGACGCCTTCCGGTCATATTCAAACAAGTCGCAAAACAATGCGAATGTGAAAAACAAGTCGTCGATGTCGTCAGAAGTGGAAAATAATCGTGTCAGCATAAGTAACTCCAACGTTACTCAACAAAACAACGATATGACAGAAATTTTATTAGCGACAGCGATGCTCAAGGTGCAGGCCGCAGATGGTACTTATAAAATAATGCGCACACTTATTGATCAGGGTTTGCAATACTCAATAATATCTGAGAATGCGGCCCAGCGACTAGCACTTCCTAGACGAAACTGCAAAGGTAGTATTTATGGGGTTGGTGTTAAACCTAATAGCTGTAAAGGAGTACTTCACTTAACATGCTCATCAATGGACGACAACTACGTTTTTGACACGTCGGTATTTATCATGCAAAATCTTATCAAACAATTACCAAATTCAACATTTGCTAAACCTTCGTGGTCATTCTTGAACAATATACAACTAGCTGACCCAGACTTCAACATCAGCAGACCGGTGGATCTTCTTCTGGGTGCTGACATATATTCGAACATTATATTACCTGGAATATGCAGAGAAGAAGATCAATCTGTGCCGATTGCCCAACAGACTCGGCTCGGCTGGATTTTGTGTGGAAATACAAAAACATACCAATGCAATGTAATTTTGAACAACATCGAACAAATCGAAAAATTTTGGGAAACAGAGGACATTACTGAGCATTTCGACTTATCAGAAGAAGACCTTCAATGTATTCAATACTATGAAGAAACAACAAAACGACTGAGTGATGGTAGATACGAGGTCAGACTCCCACTCAAACCAGGATATGAAAAACAATTGGGTTCGTCCAAAAATAAGGCAATCGCACATTTTTTAAGCATGGAAAGAAAGTTTAGAAAAAACAACAGTTTTGAGCAAAATTACAAAGCCTTCATTCATGAGTACCTAGCGCTTGGACATATGAAACCCGCTGATTCAATGGGTCGACTCGAATGTTATATACCTCACCACGGCGTACAACGACCGGAATCGACAACTACGGCCTTGCGAGTAGTGTTCAATGGCTCATGCAAGACTTCAACAGGTTCGAGTCTCAATGATGTTATGTATGCAGGTCCAAACTTACAGCAAGACCTTCAGGAACTGTTGATCAAGTGGCGACAGTTTGAGATAGTATTTACGGCTGACATTGAAAAGATGTTTCGCCAAATATGGATTCATCAAGATGACCAGCTTCTCCAAAAAATAATATGGAGAGATTGTCCAAGTTCTGCATTGCAAGACTTACAACTATGCACAGTCACCTATGGCACAAAAGCTGCCCCATTTTTGGCCATGATGACGCTTAAACGATTAGCAAACGATGAACGAAGAAATGATTACTCCACCACTGCAATCCAGGCCCTGGAAAAAGCAATGTACATGGACGACCTGCTGTATGGAGCCCATTCTATGACGTCAGCATTGGAATTACAACAAGAGCTTATTCGCCTGCTTCAGTCTGGAGGATTCAACTTAAGAAAATGGAATTCCAACAAAGAGGAACTACTTAACATCAACAACAACCAAGACAACAAAAATTTTAATTTTAAACATGCACATTCATCGAAAACACTTGGACTCAGCTGGATTTCTAAACAAGATATTTTCACATTCCAAACAAAAATTACTGTCTCTGAGAAGAAATGTACAAAGCGAAGTCTTTTGTCAGAAATTTCGAAACAGTTCGATCCAATCGGCTTGATTGCTCCCATAACACTGAGACTAAAACTTCTCTTCCAAAAAGTATGGCAGCTGAATCTTCAGTGGGATGATGAACTACCCGAAGAAATCCAAGTAGAATGGATAAACATGAAACATGGCATCAAAATGATTGATCAACTACAAATACCTAGATGGTTGGGAACAAAAGAAAATAGCTTAGTCGAATTGCATGGTTTCTGCGATTCGTTGGAGAGAGCATTCGGCTGCGCCATATATTGCAGAACAAGCAAAAATCATCATTCAATGGTGGTGTTAGTTGCCGCCAAAACCCGACTAGTACCCATCAAAAAGCCTATCACTATACCAAGGCTCGAATTAAATGCCGCAGTTTTATTATCAAAATTGATGAACAAGGTTGTCAACTGCCTAAGTACGTACAACATATAGATCTTTGGTTGGTGTGACTCCACCGCTGTTCTAGGCTGGTTGCACGGAGACGCTGCACGATGGAAGCCTTTCGTGGCGAACAGGGTCAAACAAGTGATCACAAATATGCCCCCCGCCTGCTGGCGCTATGTGAAGTCGGAGGAAAATCCAGCAGATTGCGCCAGCAGGGACTTAACAGCAGGACAACTAAAAGACCACCCGCTTTGGTGGCAAGGGCCCTCTTGGCTACTAACATATAAACAAGATGTAGAAAACAACCCTATGTATACAACCAACGAAGAGGAAAAGCAAGTTTTAGTAGCTCAGAAAGCAAAAGAAGAAGAAAAAAGCTACATTTTACCGCAACTTATAGAAAAACAAAGCTCATTTACACGCTTAGTAAGAATATTAGCATGGATTCTACGAGTCAAAAAAGATAAAACTAAACAGAGGCAGCCCTACCTAACAATATCAGCGTTACAAACAGCTACTAATTTATTAATAAAACATGTGCAATCAGCCGAATTCAAAGACGATATCAATAACATTACGCAAAATAAACAAGTACCGAAAAAGAGCCCATTATCAAAGTTGAATCCGTTCATAGATAAAAATGGCATCTTAAGAGTAGATGGCAGATTAGAACTCGCAAATATCACATATAATATGAAACATCCAATAATTTTGCCGAACAGAAGCCGTTTTACACAATTACTGATTGATAGCGCGCATAAGATCACATTTCATGGCGGCGCGCGATTGACGTCAGCGTTCATTCGACAAAAGTACTGGATTGTTGGCGGAAATCGAACAATTAAAAGGTTAATAAGAACCGGTATAACCTGTCGACGTCACGCTCCCAGCATAGAACCCCAGATCATGGGTGATTTGCCTGAAGCCAGGACAAACCCCTCCCGTCCTTTTTATCATACAGGAGTTGACTACACGGGTTACGTGGACGTCAAGGCAAGCAAGGGTTGAGGCATAAAAACAAACAAGGGTTATGTGGCTGTATTCGTGTGCATGGCAACAAAGGCCGTGCACCTCGAACTCGTGTCCGACCTCACGTCGTCAGCATTTTTGGCCGCACTGCGTCGTATGGCAGCTCGTCGAGGCGCGCCGCGTCACATATATTGCGACAACGGCACTAACTTCGTCGGTGCTAGCCGTGTTCTAGAACAAAACATAAAGCAGCTTAAAGAAAATATTTCTGATCCAGAATTCTTAACTGAACTTACGAAAATGGAGATCGAATTCCACTTCAACGCTCCTTCTTGGCCATCAGCGGGAGGACTCTGGGAGGCTGCGGTCAAGAGCCTGAAATATCACATCAAACGTGTTATCAGAGAGCAAAAATTAACATTCGATGAGTACTCAACGATACTTACTCAGCTAGAAGCGTGCCTTAATACTAGGCCGCTGTGTGCATTAACTGAGGATGTGGAGGACCTGGACTTCTTAACGCCTTCGCATTTCTTAACTGGAACAGCTGATGTAACCATACTGGAAACAGAACACGACGCGCGAACAAGATGGAACTTAACAGAAAAACTAATGGCTGATATCTGGAAGCGCTGAAAATCGGAATACCTTACACAACTTACCGTTCGAAACAAATGGAAGCAGTCGATATCTAACATTCAAGTCGGTCAATTGGTGACAATTCAAGAAGATAACTTACCTGCTGGAAAATGGTTGACAGGTCGAGTTATACATTTACACCCAGGAAAAGATGGTTTCGTTCGAGTTGTCTCCTTGAATTTTAAAACGGCCAGTTACCAAATTATCCATACTGCCACTGCGAGGAAACCAGGAACCTGAACTCAGAAAACACCAGATTACCATTGGTCAGCCGAGATAATTACAACCTATACAGAGTTATACCGATTCCTCATAAACGGACCAACAATTTTGTGAACATTAAACCGATTGCAGATTACATTGCAATTAATTTAGAAAAGGATATCTACATCCCAATGACATCTATCGATTTACAAGAGTGTATTATGTACGATTTTTCAGCACATTTATGCCACCTCAAACACCCCATATACCAAAGAAATTCAGATGAAGATCTGTGTTTGAAGAATAATTACACAAATCAGTGCCAAATAAACATCGCCGGGTGCAGCAACATGTTTATTCAATTAAATAAAGCGAACAATTACTTATTTACAACGTGCGACAAATGCAACGTAAGAATTTTTTGCGGTGATCAAGTTACCGTGGAACGGCTGAGAGACGCCGGGGTCATTGCGCTGGAACCCGGTTGCTCAATCAAAAGTGAAGAATTATCAATCTATACGCACAAAATATTTACGAGTGAATTGAAAACCGGACCTGAAATTTATACGCCTGAAATCGCTGCTATTAACCAAATTATCAAGCTCTCTATCCCAGAAACAGGAGAGTTGGAAAAAGACGCTGACAGTTTCCAAGCCAACCTAACCACCTTGAACGAAAACATCAAACACCTAAAATCCCAAAATGTGATCGCTGAAAACATAACATTCCATGACATACATCATTACGTCGCGATTTACATCCTGGTGGGAGTGGCTGTAATAGCTGCTATATGCCTTGCCTGCAAACGACTACGACAAAGAAGAAACACGGCTATCACTTCAAGTATTAGCCTCGATAACATAACCACGGAAGGTCTAAGCTTCGCTCCTGTGGCTGCGCTGGCCGCCCCGAGAGCGCAGCGCGCCGCTGCAGTGCCCGCCCCGAGAACGCAACCCGTCGCCGCCAGCACCGAGCGTGCGTCCTCACCCGCGGTCCCGAACGCGTTCAACACTCAAGACCGAGCAACATCTCCTATATTGCGAACTCTCATTCTTAAACGCGATGAAGAATAATTTTATACCTAACTTTTCTCAAATAATTTTACTTTTATGTATTTTTAGTTTATCTCCATTGTTGTGCGGGAAGATGTTCAGTTTACACCGAACACATTATGTACGCGTAGGCATTTTACTTTAAAGTTTTTATTTAAGTCAGTACATGTACGGACGCCAACATTGTCTCGTGTGTGCTCACATACATAACATTTATAAACATATAACATTTATAAACATTGTAACAATAATATTATAACAATATAATAAACATTTTGTGCATAAACAGTATTTTAAGTAACATTTACATCAAAAGGTGTTGAATACCACAACAGCTTATATAATTGTTGACGTCTGATTTATCTCTACTCCTGTAAACAGGGGTTACTATAGATCACTTGAAAGCACTAGAAAAGACTCCTGTACTAAAACAAAGATTTGCCAACTTATAGAAATATGGGAACATAAAGTCTTTGGCACGTTTTAAAAATGCAGTGCTTATATCATCCCAGCCAGGTGCACTGCCGGAGTCCAGGCTCAAGAGTATGCTGTTAATTTTATTAGGGTCTGTCTCCAGCAGGACAAACGAGGAGGGATTAGAAAAGCTGGTCGATAGGACGTTTGAAATGTGATCATCGGGTCCAGACTGACTTATTATAAGACTTATTATAAGGTTTGTTAAATTAGATCCAATGTTGATAAAGTAATTATTAACATGATTCACTGAGATTTGAGGATGGGATTTTGAATTAAGTAGGTCAGCATTGTTCGGTTTTAGGGGGTTTATATTACGTAATCTCATTTATATCGTGGACCATAATTTTTTAGGTTGATTAATTGAATTATTAATTTTTAGACCAAGGGTTATCCATGGCTTTAACATTATTTTATTGTTTGATATTGTTAAGATTTTAGAATTACGAGTAGCTTGGATAGTGGTCTTGATAATGCCTATAAATTAGTTAGCAAAGATTTCCGTATTATTACAAACATTAAGAAAATACACATTAGAATCTATGAATCTGGTTTTATATGCATTATCAAAGTCTATAACAGTTTCGTATTAACAAGGGGTAAGATTTTTATATGCATTAGAAAATTTGACCAGAATCAGATTATGACCAGTAACTGCAGTGTTTATGACAGCAACAGAAACAGGGTTACTTCAACCCTGTTTCTGTTGCTGTCTGCTTTCTGGTGGTGTCTAATTTTAATATAACATGGTCTAGGCAGGAGCCTTCCCTAGTAGATAAGGTATGATCAGACAGGAAACCGTGTAGGGATGAAACATTTAAATAACTGAGTGTTTTAAATGTTTTAACAATTATGATGAGACCTTAACTCCGGACTGATAGAGTGACCTGAAGGTGTACTTTGATGAATGCTACTGGAACTTCTCGAAGAGTAAAATTAGATATGCAGAGTTAGGCTTCGTTTTGTTAGTTATGATGATACTTTACCTCCGGACTTGATAGAGTAACCTAAAGGTGTACTTTGATGACTGCTACTGGAACTCCTCGACGAGGAGAACTAGGTGTCCCGAGTTTGGGCTTGTTTTGTTAGTTATGAAAAGACCTTAGCTCCGGACTTGTTGTTGTGACTTAAAGGTGTACTTCGGTGATTGCTACTAGAACTGGTTGAGGAATAGAATTACAATTTACATTTTTTTAATTTTTTCACGATCATATGAGCTTTTTTTTTAGAATTGAAATTTGACATAAAATTATCGGAAAATTGGAAGTATAATAATGATTATAAGGTTTTTAGTGAAAACTTGTGTGTAATTAAACTACTTTGAAAATTACGTATAATCATCTTATACGTAATTTTTAATGCACTTAAGGCATGCACAATTGGATTTACCAATAGTTTTTTATTTTTCCCTCTATCGCCTCTTACAACACCCACAGCACGATATGTTGTAGTGGACATTCTTACACCGCCACTACACGGTTATGTTACTTTAAAGAACAATTTTAAAATACGGATTAACGAAATCAAATATAAAAAAAATAAGTTAATATACGCGATAGAATACGTAAAAACCAGTTTGATATAAATGTACTGTTCGCGTAAATATAGAAATCACAATTTAATATTTTATCTTTTATTGAATTTTTGATTTAATTATTTTAATTAATATTTTTAATGTATTCGAAATAATTGCTTCCGACAATACGGAGC